CGGTGTTTGGATGAAATCGGATGAAGATAAACCCGCCCACTCCTCATATCACAGTAACTCAACCACGCCTACTTCCAATATAAACCAATTTTAAATACTATTTGGTTCTTTCACTTTCCAGTGTACAAATCAAGATGAAATTAATATAACGGTATAAAACATTTCACGAATAATGCCTGTAGAGTATGACACCTTATGACTAAAAATTTTCCGAATCCAAWAAAAAAAAAAAAAMTGTTCAAGCCTCTGAGTTCTGAAAATATGAACCCCAGCATCTATATTTGACTTTAGGCCGAAAATTTCGGTCACTGTTCAGGGTATACAATTMAAATTCAGAGAGAACCCTTTCCTGATAATAGTATCTCTGTGTATCAAAAATGAGTTGCATCGGATAAAAAACTTTCTGAGCCCGCATATACCTAAAATAAAGGTTTTCAAGGTTCTGGGTGACTTTATACCACATACATCGACCAATATGTGAGTTATGTCCATGAAAAGGAAAGAGAGTGTTTTAGTCTTAACAATGTATCTTTGTGGAGCAAATGAATAATATTGGGTGATAACTTAACCTAGCCTCCAAATAAACAATATTAAGATTTCCGAACATCCCACTGACTTCACTTTAAATCTTTGTATGAGAGGTCCTTTATGAGACCAGAGAACATTTTTTTTTTATTATGTGATATGTTAATAATATTTGCCATCGAGAAAATTGAAAAAATCGGGTCGATCGTACCCCTACTCCCATATTTCATATATAATGATTGTCGTTTTTCTAATSAACCTAATCTAATCTTAASCTTTGCAAGTTRCWGAAGTATAAACTGYTCGGCCGCACCCGAAYKTTGCTCTTCCTTACTTGTTTAGATTTGCATTTGAAGTGGAGAACTACAATTTATGTATTCGTATAGATAACTGAACATTTTTTATACATTTTTCGAATATCAATCGTACATGTGATCAAATTTAAAGGTGAATGATCAAATTTGAAGATGAGTGATTTGTTCTGTAATTAATCTAGAATTTTTTTTATTAAATTCCCAAGTTTTCTGGCAAAAAAAGCTGTGCTTGACTTGACAAAGAACAAACTTATAAAATCTAAGGGTGACAAATTCCTAACTTAAGGGCAAATTCTTTCGTAAAATTTTTTTGAACTTCATCTATATAAATATCCTTTTATTTTTATTATTTCGAGCTTTTGTAGATTTCAAATTATTTCCTCTCTTTCATTTCCTTTCTTCTCTAACAACTTTATTTAGGCATTTCACAATATTTGAAGGTTGAGGTAAGGTTGCCGATAATAAAGAGTAATTTGTTAGGCATGTGATTTATAATGAAGCAATACTTTTTCGGAGTTGGTCTTTTTGTCAGTTGTTACTTGATCTCTACTCAATTCGGTTTGCCATATTATAATGAACAGAGTTGGTACGATGAAGAGTGCCATGTCGCAGCCGAGAGAAAACAGACTGCCTATCTGGCAAGCTTGAGAAGCTGGGCGACAAGGGTAACGCTTGAAAATTCTACGAAAAGATGTGTCGACTAGCAGAAGGTTTCAAGATCGGTTCTTGTAGAACATTCAAAGGTGATCTAGTGACTGAAACCTAGAGCATCCAGAAATTATGGAGGGAACACTTCCCCAGCCTGCTTAATGGCAGTGAAAGCATAACACCACGAGATGGTGAACCCGATTCCAAAATCGATGACGATGGAGCAAACGTTCTCGTTCAGCTTCGATATTCAACACATAATAACCCTTGCTAACAGGTGCTACTTCGGACTGAGTAGGCAATTGAGAAGTAAARTCTCCTCTCGACGAACAAATACCAAACTCCATAAGTCACTTATTATTTTCGTTCTCATATAATGAGTCGACGTTACAAGTTTTCGAGAAAAAGGTTCTCTGAAATATTTTGGGTCCTTTCTTTTCGCATTGGCGAATAAAGAAGAAAAATGAAGCCGGCCATAGTTAAAGTGAAATGGCACATTAATCAGAGTTTTTCGGGCTTGAACTGGAGGATATTGATGTTTACAACCTTTGGTTCCAACAAGACATGCCTAAATAATTGAAAACAACTGAAGCACTTGCTCTCTACATCAGCAAAGACGCTCTATTTCRCTGGGATAAGATCAATGAAAAAATTATTGTTGATAGTGGGTATAACTTGCCAATGTCCAGTTCCGATTATTCTACAGAGTAGAAATACAGATCAAACAAAATTGCYATTTGGGAACAAAAAATCCTTTCAAGGCCTATAAAAAGTCTTGTTTGAGCAAAAAGTATCGCCAATGATATCGGTGGATGTCGGATGACAAAAAATGTGACATTTACCGACCATCGAGATCAAAAGATTTGCTACCGGATAACTTCTTTTTGTGGGATTGTGTGTGATTGTGTGTGATCGAAAAGCAAAGTTTACGCCAGTAGAACGTAACTCTACTCGACTCTAACGACTCTACTTGAATTAAGTGCAGCTCTAAGCGCCACTAAAAGGGATGCGCTATTTCTTGTGTCCTTGTCTCCCTCATTAAAGAACMCAAAAAATTAGCAAATATTTTTAACGGATTCTGTGTTTAAAGTTTATTCTCACAAGGCACTCTTTCACTATTTACCTACAACCTCCACCTATACATATTCATGAAAATTTCAAACGAAACCGCTATGTACCCAGTTGTTCTCAATTTGCTTGCGATTCTTCGCCCAACTGCCCTACAATACTTGAGACCACAAAAAAGTGTTACAAAACGCTGACAGCGTTCAAAAGTTTATGTCTCGTATAATTTCCGTTGCGCAGACAAGGCCAAAAAACACAAACGCAATTATTCATAGACACACACACACAYATRTATATATATACAAACGATATCCGTACATGCATATGTGAATACGTGCACCTGTTTTTTAGACACCTTTTGAATTCCAGGCTGAGACGTTGACAATACATAATACCTCATAAATCGTTTTTTTTTCTTTTTTTTTTTTGTTTTCTCTGGTTGCACCTTCTTTTCGGCACACAAAGGCGCTTGATAACGACCCGCAAACCGACAATGAATGTTGTATATGTAATACCTCTGTATGTGCACACACATGCATTGTACTGGGCTCAAAGTTTCTGAATAAGAGGCGACAGTTKTAACACCAAGTGTGTTTACTTTAACACCAAAAACTAAGCGAAGTGACAGAGATTCTCTGTTGCGAGAAATGAGGTGCGAAAAGAAAAGTGGAAGTCAAGGTAATTAAAGTGGTAACGTKAGTAGTCAGAGTGGTAATGTTAGTAATCAAGGTAGTAATGGAAGTAACCAGAGTAACAATTAAAGTAATCAAAATGGTAATGTAAGTAATCAAAGTAGTAATGTAAGTAATTAAGGTGGATAACTACTTTGTGGTAATGTTGATAATCSAAACGATATATTAGTAATCAGAGTGATAATGTAAGTAAGTAAAGTGGTCAAGAAAGTAATAAAAATTATCAATGTAAGTAATCAAATAGATAATGTAAGTAATTAATATAGTAATGTAGGTAATCAAAGTGCTAATGTTAGTAATCAAAGTGTTAATTTAAGTAACCAAGCTGGTAATGTAAGTGATCAAAGTAGTAATGTAAAATAACAGAGTAATAATGCAAGTAATCAAAATGATAACGTAAGTAATGAAGGAAAAACCAAAATTAAATTGCCAATAGCAGTAATAAAACTGGTAATCTAAGTAATTAAAGTAGTAATGCAAGTAACTGATGTAAGTATAACAGTGGTAATGTTAKTAATCCAAGTGCTATATTAGTCATCAGAGTGGTATTGTAAGTAAGTAAGGTGATTAAAGAAGTAATAAAAGAGTCAATGTAAGTAATTTACTAGGTAATGTAAGTAGCCAAGGTGGTAATTTAAGTAATAAAGGTAGAAACGTAAGTAACAAAAGAAAAAATCAAAATTAAATGACAATGTCAGTAACAAAAATGACAATGTTAGTAATCAAAGTAGTAATGCAAGTAATTAAGATGGTGATATAAGTATAAACGTGCTAAGGCTAGTAAGCCAAGTGATATATTAGTAATCAAAGTGGTAAGTAAGGTAGCCAAGTAAGTAATCAAAAAGGTAATGTAAGTAAACCAAAAAAAGTCAAAATTAAAGTGTCAATTCCAGTATAAAACTGGTAATGTTTGTAATCAAAGTGGTAATGTACATAAGTAATCGAAGTGGAAATATTCGTAATCAAAGTAGTAATGTAAGTAATCAAAGTGATAATGTAAGAAAATTCTTTTGAACTTTAAAGAATGTATTAAAAGAAAAAAATTATATTCCGTAAACTTCATAGCAAATGTAACTAATTCCACTTCATAACGGTAGTACCCTGTATACAGACATCCATATAAGGAAGTAGCTACATATTCAATTGTTCTTGCCACAAAACACTTGTCGCCAACTAAGCAAGTTAAGGTAAATAATGTCATAGCGTAGATATACTTACATATATGTATATAAGTATAGGTTAGCAAGTATGTATGTGACTGAGCGAGAATTAAAACAATGTGTGGGTATCATGAAAAGTTTAGCGGTGGAAAGAGCATTTGTTTGCAGTGTTCATATTGCTCCAACACTTTCTAATTAACTTTTCAAAGTTTTTTTCTTTTTATTTAAAGTGTAAAGCACATAGKTTTCATGCTTTTATCGTTAATTTTTATGAGATCTGATACATACTAAATATTTTTTGGATGAACTGTGTGATTTATTTTAAAAATTTATATGAGAGTGTTGCCAACTGTTTTCAAATTTCTTTTTAATAAAAAATAATCGACAGAAATCTTTGATATTGCTGTATAGAACGACCCATTTAAAGAAACTCAATCAAAACAATCTGAAGCGAATATTTGAAGCTATTACTCCGAAGTTCCCATTTCTACTTTTTCCATTTAGGTTTCCTTTAACATTAGTTTTATCATCTTTCGCATCTTYCCACATTAAACACTGTTTCCCGTTTTCTTCTTACAGAACATGTTTATTTAGAAATGGCAAAAATTACACGACGCGCCGTTGCCTCGTCGTCGGTAGCATCAACAACAACAACAGACACTTCAAGGTCATCTAGAGCAACGAGTTCTTCCACTTTAAAGGCTTCCAAATCAACTGCTACGGCAAGCGCAACAATAAAAACCACAACGAATGCCAATAACATTATCTATGGCGGTAAGCCAGCACGTTTGGCCGCAACGGATCTGTCGGACAAACTGGCAATGCCACTCACTGCATTTAATGACACTCCTCCTCTACGCAGTAACGGCACTATACCCGATAAACAGTTTACAACTAATGGGCATAGCGCCTTACCCGCCGTCACGAATACAACGACTGGGTAAATAAGACGCGAGAGACATTTTTTATTAAATTTGCATTTAACTATTTATCTATTTWACATACTTAGTACCGCTTCCGTATTCAACGGCTTCAATGGGCGACACAGAATCTTCACGGGCAGTGGACGACACAATAAAAGTCTGGCCGAGCGTAGAATTGAACAGGAGGAATTCTATGCCACTTATGACGTGATGACTGGTGTACGTATTGCCGCAACGCTTAGCGGCTTCTTCGGCTTAATGGTGTTCCTAATTGTCTGGAAGAGTCGCAGTAGTTCCAATGAGACGCTGAAAGTGTTAAAGGTTAGTAATGATTGGAAATAACTTTAGCGAAGACAAGGGTCTATTGGGTTATCATATTATGGGGAATATTGTGCAATCTTAAAAAGATCAGTTGTTCTTAGTAGTTGCGATGGACGTTAGAGTCCTGTCAAATCCTGCTTTAAGATCTTTAGAACTTTCGAATGACATTTTGTTTAAAGATTTGCAACAATTTGGACAAGGTGAAGATGCTTTGTGACACCCTTTAGGTATGAAACTAAAAACACTCATGTATCGCATATATGAGTCTTGATTTTCCGACCTCGAAAGACAAGTAATTCAAGGTATCATCAGTCAAAGAATAGAGAGTCCAAATTGAACGACTAAAACCCCGAAGGTTTGCCACACCCTTTGGTGTGAAACCAGAGACTTCAATGTATCAGTCTTTATTGTCCGCCATATCAAAGACAAGAAATGCAAGGTATTGTCAGTCAAAGAATAGAGCCAGCTGAAACCCCGATGCTTTGTGACACCCTTAGGAATGAAATCAGAGTCTCATTTATCGCATGTTTGAGTCTTGATTGTCCGGACTACCAAAGAAAAGAAATCTAAGGTTACATCAGTCAAAGAATAGAGAGMGCTCAAGGAAACAGTGGACAGTGAGGGAAACGAGACACTTCCTAGTTGTTTTCCTCCGCAAACTATGACAATTGGTGTCCGTTAAAACCGGAAATTAAATAGTACATTGAACTGCTTCAGTCTGAGTCAGAAGGATTTCACAGCCACACAAATTCTTGTTTTTGAAGAAGGCTCACCGGCTTACGYAAGGCCCGGTCGTCAAAAAGTAGACATTATGAGGACAAAGGAACTCCGATTACAARGAATATTTAAAAATATATGAATTTTTCGAGATTAAACAAAATCTGATTCCCTAATCTTCATTTTCTCCAAGTCGTACCGATAGATGTAATTTTTAATATTGTTTTAGGATCCCAAAATGGCTGCTGTGGCCGCTGTGTGTATGCAAGAGGAGGAAGAGCGTGAAATTCAGGAGGCGATGGTGGCAACTGGCATGTCGATATAHCCGGATGAATATGATGCGATTCTCTATCGGCGACAACGAATGTTATCATTGGGTAATGTTAGCGCACCACCCATGCTAAACCGAGGATATCGCTTCTCGTCAGTGGGTAAGTTTACTGTTCGAAAATGTAGTTTTCAGTTGGTCATTAAGTCAAAAAAGATATTCCTGCTTTCGAAACTACAGGTGGTGGTGGCTACAGCAGCCTGCTGGAGCCACCTAGGCGTTTTTCCTATTCGGCAACTTCTGGCGTAGGCAGCTTCACGGGAGGCCGCAGAAAAAGTGGCTCCGAGTCGTCACGTATACTGAGTAACTATCCTATGGGCAGCAGTTTCGGCAATGATGATTACTTTATAGAGACCGAGGATGAATTGGAATGCGCCGACTACCCACGTAGTGGGACACATCTTGACGAACTGTCCGATATGCCACAACGCACTGATTCAACGAAAAGTAAACGTGGTTTTCTGGAGGTACCACCTGCGGTAAGTTAAGTATTCCACAATTATGAACTTAATGAACTCACAAACTTACTTCTACAGGGACAAGATTCGCGACGTAGCAGCGCAATGACATGTTGCAGTACTGAAAGCTCTTATTTGGAGCGACGCTGTTCGGCGTTTACCTTAGGGCTGAGCAATCTACCGCCGACACTTCAACGAAAACTATCGACAGCCTCACGCGCATCGAGTACCGACAATTGGGACTACTATTACCCCGATATACAGGTCATACAGCCAACACCGAAACCTTCACCTTGTCCATCGGAGCGTAGTCTTTATGAACAACTGCAGGCGCATGCCAACGGTGCTTCCACCTCGAGCGCTAAGGTGACAGGCAAAGGCGCTGAAGCACTGCCGGACAATTTACCCGTTGCCACCATCAYAACACAGAGTAAGACTGGCACCACCAATACTGTGAGAGGCGCTGGTACTCCAACAGATGCGCAGAATATTGTACGTAAGCACAGTATAGCCTATTATGATCCGGAAAGTGCACAGGGAGGACGTAAACAGGAAATACATTCGATAAGCGCCGACACGGTGGACATCTATCCTTATAATCAATCCCATTATGAAACACTTGGTATGATTGGTTCCAGTGATGCTGGTGGTACCGCACACAAGACACCACTACAAACTGCGCCGACAACAAGCACTCAGTACGGATTCCATTACACCGATTCGCCGACGGAAGATTCCCGTGGTAGTCTGCGCGGCAAGGTCACAGTAGTTGAACTGCAACGTCTCACCTATCCGACAGAAGAGATGACACCGCCGCCCATACCAGAGCATAATAATAATAATTTTTCATATTCCAGTACCGCTGCGGCCATAGCGGCTGCTGCCGTTGTTACCGCCAACTCCAGTAGCATCAGCATCGATAGCACGCCCATTAGTTTGGATAGACTGAATGGTAGCGGCAGTCTGGGCACCATATCAGCGAAAGCACTTTTCAATGTAGAAAGGCGAGCACCGCTCGCCTCGCTTAGTTCCTTTAAAATCTCGTCATTAGAATATCAAGACTCGGAAGCGCGTTCCGTTGACGAGGACTCAGTATTCCTGGACAGTGTGGCCGACACCGATGAGGATATGCAGCAGCTGAGCAGTGACAGTGATGAGGTCAGCTTCGGTGAACATGATCCTACTAGCATGCGTGAGAATGTGGYGCTTGTTGTAACACAAGATTCCGCCGGCAGCAATAATGCCGAGGCAACGGCAACAGTGCATACGCGACCGCAGCCAATTAAGTATCCCATCGAAAAGCGTTATAGTCTGGGCGCTGCTTGCAATGCCGGTGTCGCTGGCACGAAACTAACACGCGCACGACGTCCACTGCTGCAACGCCATCGCACAATCAGCGTTTCTTCCAGTGATCGTGTCGCTTTAATTGGCCATCAGCTCAAAGAGTTCCAGCACACTGGCAGCGGTAGCCAAACACCGACTACCATCGCTGAAACGGTGCCGCTRGAAACGCATTTCGGTGCGATTATTTGCACCAGTAGCTCACCAACACACCTGCGACGCGCAAAATTGCTGCAACAGTATAGCGATCCGCAAAGCCTGCCGACCACCACAACAACTACAGCAACAACGGAGGATGACACCTGCTCGACTTTGAATACGGAACTGTGCGGTGGTAATGCCGGTGCACATGGACCGTGCGGTAGTGGCAGCGGCAGTGGTGGTGGTGGCGACACCGGCGGTGGCGGTGGCGGTGGCTCGGCGACTCTGACACAAAACAGCAGCTTAAATACGGTCGTCAGTTTTGGCCGTTCGAGTCCGCTCACGGACAATAACAAAACGAGCTGTAGCCTTAGTGCTGGCACAAGCGCTAACGCTCACCACCAGCTCTATACTATAGAAAAACAAAAGGCTTCGAAAAATCAAACGAACAAAACACAACCACAACTGCCATGCTCCAGACTCTATGATGACTCTTGTGCCTCCTCGGTCTCCGACTCGTTGATCATCACTTCAACAACGCGACAGCCAATAATTTGCATGCCAGCATCGCTGAAAAACCTCATCCTACGCGGTTCCGGTGCCGGGACCAGTTCTACAAYAATCGCAGATAAAACGGTGGACACGCCCAGTCTGTTGGTTAGCCGTAGCGCTACTAATTTGAGCGCGTCGCACACAAATGTGCGCGATAGTGAAGATCGTTCATGTCGTTCGGTTATGCTGGAACTGCCGCTAATAAAGTTACCTACCGATGAGAGCTCGGAAAGTTCGTCGGCGTCGGAAGGRAATGCACAACGTGCGCAAAGTAAGAGTGAAGGTTCACGCGAACCCAGTCTGACCAGAAACAGTCGGAAATGGTCGAAGGAAACACTGTTCTAGCTAGGAACCAAAGCAAGACGTACCAGCTATAAAATGGGTTGAACAAAYCGGGCTCAAGTTGTTTACGAATATGGTACTCACCATAGAAGAAKTGTTACAAGTAGCAAAGAGCTGAATAAAGCAGCGCAGGTGTGGCGTAAAATAGTWTAGAYGAAAGACTGCAGTTTAGATAGTGCAAAGCATCGTTGGATCCACGTTGAGCTCTCCGACTGCCCCGCTAAGGAATTGCATTTGCTGTTGTGTGACACAAAGTTGGCACAATAACTTTTTACAGGAGCTTAGTATGTAACAGATTTTGCAGAAACCAAAAAACCAAAAACAAAATAAGGAACTCAAAAAACGAAAAAACAACTAATGAACTATAATTGTAAACTAAAAGATTTAGCATACAAATTATGTAAATGAAAATATTTTGATTTATAAGTGAAGAATACAAATCACAACACGGAAACGGGTGAACTTAAAGCATTTCATGCGTAATTTATGCGATTCAAATTGTTATATGTACGAGTATTTGATAGTAAATAACTGCATACATACATACATACTTTATGAAATTATAAGAAAAACAAAAACYACTTTCATAAATATATAATTATCTAGTAATTCATAAGCTTTAACATTTACTTTAAATTGAGGAGCGAATCGGAAATCGAGCGAATAGACTTCACATAAGGAAATGGTATATATAATGAACTTGAAAATGGCCTTAACTTTCTTCCTTAGTTGCATGTAATAAAAAAACTTAATTTACAGTGAGGAGCATAGAAATGAGAATGCATATTTATTTTAATAATTAAAATTTAATAATTTTGGTATGGAAATAATTATAATATAACCTTTACGAAACGTATATTAACTTCAGTTGCCAGACTGCCTACAACTATGAGCAAAAAATAGAAAGACTTTACTCATAATTTTAAAATCCTTAATTTATTCTTCAAAATCTATTTCATCCACTTCAAAGTAAACCCCCTTCTCCCTAATACACTTATGCCAACGTGTTTTCCAATCAGCGAAACAGTTCTTAAAGTCAATTTCCAGAATAGCTTTCAAAGCGYGTAGCGATTCACATTTAATGTCTTCAATTAACTCAAAAAGATTTTCCCCAAGTGGTCATTTAAGTTTTCTGAGTAGCCAGAAGTYAAACGTAGCTAAATATACGAATACGGTGGTTGCGGCACGATCATGGTTGAAAATTAGGCGAAGAACTCACAAGGAATCAATRCAGTAAGGTAATGTCGGCCCATAATTCGGGCCTGTTTTCAGGAATAGATTCGCACAAACGACGCATGACATTTAGATAGTATTCCTTGTTGACAGTTTGGCCGGTCGGAAGGAATTCGAAGTGCACCACATCGAGATAATCGAAGAAAACTGTTAACATWACCTTAATATTTGACCTGCTTTGACATGGTTGTTTGKGCTTTGGCTCACCTTTGCCACAATATKCGACCGATTGATTGTCTGTTTCCGGGTCGTAAGCATAGATCCAAGACTCATCGTCAGTTATCATACGTTTCATGTCATACTGGTAGTCGGAAAACACTGTATCACAGACGTTAACGCGGCGCTGTTTTTTTTCGAAACAATCTCTGACTGTTAGCCATTGCTTTTCAATTCCTTTATTTTATTGACGTGTTCTTCATCAGCTGATGTCGATGGTCGCTCTGGACGTAGTTCGTCATCAACGCTTGCTCGGTCTCGACCTCTTTGAATATTATGTACCAATCAGAAATACTTGCTCGCGACAAACAATTGTCGCCGAAGGCCTTTTTCAACAATCTGAAGATTTTGTCAACAGATTTGATTCCACAGACAAAATTTAATGGAACATCTTTGTTGAGTAATTTCACTCTTCAGAAGGACAAGCGTATACTAAACACCAATGATTAGTTTGATGTGAAATGTTGCACATATGTCACTGACAGTTATATCAACCGAGAAATAAAATATTTCGACGAGTGAGTTTTCACGCGAAATTTAAATTGACATGCTTTACTATTTTTTGCCTACAGTATATCTGGTCTAAATATCAATGCCTACGACTCAAAGAACAGGAATCAATTTGCAGAACGAGTTTTATATGAATTTTTTTTTCTTTAAGATAACATTTTATTTAACAAAATTGGTTAATTATTAATACTATAAATGGATATGGGACATTGAGTGGATTACAAAATTTAAAATATTGTTAAATTCTTCGCACATAACCTGATTAATAATGTACGAATGTTGCTCGAAAAAATCAAGTCAATAGATCGAACCATTTTAGAGAAATTTTCCTCACTTACAAATACGCTCATATCTCCGAAAAAATTAATTTTGRGAAATTCACAAATGGATATAACCTGATGCAGAATTTGAGAACGCCAATTTTTTAGTGCTAAATCAAATGCCGATAGGAAATTTCTTTTGGTTAACCAACTACCGTAAGATTGATGTTACGCGTTAGCTATTCGAGTATTAGGCATATCTTCAGAAAACGCTATTCTTTTGAAGCTTTACTCAATATTCTCATCTCTAAAAACAGATTTTTTTTTTTTTTAATTTTCTAGAAAAAAATACATTGACTATATACTATTTTGATTGTTGTTTTGGCAGTGACATAAAAGAAGTTTCTGATAATTTTGGGAAACTCAGCGATTTAGACAGTGTGTTAAGAATTAGGATCTGTTCCGCTTAGCTGCATTGGGAACAGAAGCTAAAATATACCTAAGTTATATATTCTCTACGTATAGCGCCTTCAGCGTCATGTCGGAGTAACTCTCACTTAAATAAGTATTTTATATGCTCTACAACTTTAAAAATTTTAAGAGATTTTCACTAAACCATTATCGAGTTAAAGCCTTTATATGACATATTTGAGAGGTTTTAAGTATATTCTCCGGTTATTACCCTCAGCGACTTGTCGGAGTAAACAGTACATGGAATAAGTATTTTCAAAGTTATACATTGATGTTGATCGAAACGTTTATCTTCCTATCTTCCTCAAAAGATTAATACTTATCTTTGGTTAAAATATTATGATGAAAATATTGGGATCGAACGAAAAGTTCAGCTTCTACAAAAAAAAACGCTCATTTCAGCAGAAAATTGTGGATTAAATGAATCGATGAAACACATATTATGAGGGTTATAAGACATTTCCACCATAAGTTATTCATCTACTTCTGAATAAAAATTCTAAAACGATCTATGTCATTTTGCGCGAACATATAGACTACTCTCCATTATAAAAAAAAAATCACTCCATAAATAGCTTCTCTTCAACAAGTTTCGCGAGTTGTGAATCGAACAAAGAACTGGTATAAATCAAATAAAATCGTAAGGATAAAATAAATAGCGGTTATACAATTTTTATGAATTTGGACAAAAAGTAGGGCGTATCAAATTTAAAAGGAMAATTTTTTGTTACATGAGAGATAAAGTGCTTGACAAGAAAGGCGATTATGACAACCAACAAAGTGGTGAGCCAAGGATGACTAGTACAATACTAGAGAAACCTGTAAATAATAATTTTTACGATGGAATAAACCTAAGGAAACATCTTCTTTTTTTTTCTTTTTTTTTGTATCTCTTGCTGTTGTAAGGACTTTTTATGGATATACTTTTTTTTAGAGAATTTTTCGAATGATGATTATGTACGAATACTAACTACTTGCTAACTACTACCGTTCMCACGACAGTCGGATCTACGTAAGCGGAACGGATCTGGATTTTTTATACTGTCAAGGACTGTCAACTCGACAAAAGTCTGCCGCTATAACAACAACAACAATAATTGCTGGCCAGATAAGTTCATATCCTTTAATTTTGGCCAGAAAATAATGAGAGACTAGAGAGTTTAGTGCAAGCAAGTTAATCGAGAACTCCTCGCATTTACTATAATATATAATATATGATTTCGCAAAGCAGTACATAGAGGTTGTTACGCAGATTTTTTTAACATAACCTAAAATATTTTTTTAGAATTTCCATACAAAATTTTAGTTCACACAAAAAACACAAARAAATAAACGTTCATAGACCTAGTTATAAGAAATACTAAAAAACCAAAAAGATAATGCAACAACTTTAGGGACTATTAGCATGTAGAATGACTTCACTACTGATAAAAACTTCAAAAATATTTGTTTGTCAATACTTTACTATTACAACTTTAGCGGTAGCGTATAGCAAAATAGCTGATAAATGTGAGAAATGTGTTTCAGAAAGCATTAAAACTAACATTTAWTTACATGTATGTAAATGTAGCAAACGTGTGCCTCAAAGTTGACATACGCACATTTTCGAAAGGTTTCAGTTTTTGTTTATGAATTTCTGTTTTAGTTTCAATTTAACGAAAATTACGTATTTGTTTCGACTGCAAAGCATTAATGTAATAGAATAACAAAAAAATATAGACATATATATGTATGTGTGTCATATGCGAATAGAAACAATTAGGACTTCTCTTCATGCCTTCCTTCAAACCCACCCAAAGTGCATATACCTGAGAAAAAACAAAACAAAAATTAATAAAAATGAAAAAAAAACAAAACTATAAAAAATCTATAAAATCAATTAGAGAACAAAAAAGTGACTTATGTCATGCATATGTATGTAATTTTAGCTAATTAAGTAATTTAAGTAGAGATTGCACGCATATAACCCAGATTATAAGAAAAAAAGTAGTAACAAAATCAACAAAAAAATTAAAAATAAATACATTTTTTATAAAAAAAAAAAAAAAACAAATCAGCAATATTTGAAAAAAAAAATCATATAATATAACATAACTGTATATACGAAGCGGAGCATAAACCGAGTTTACGCAAAATAGTGAGCTACTGTGTTTGTTGTATGTACTTCCGCGCCAACCAAATGACATACATACATTTGCGTTAGTTAAAGCCCAGCATACATACATACATAGTTGCAAAAATTAATTTATGTACATACACATATATATATACTCCATGTGTACCGTGTGTTATATATTACCTAGCATAATTTATACTTTGTATAGACCTATTCCTAGTTTGACCCACCAAAAAAAAGAGTGCCACATACATTTATACTGTATTCGTAAATATGTATGTTTAACACATACAAGCAAAAATAAACATCAATACACATACATAACAAATATATAAAAAAAAATACATGACAAAGTAAAAACACTGATTAGATTTCGTACAACAACAAAATCGCGTAATCATCTCTCGTATTTTTCTATGAAATTTCATATTACATGTGTATTTATTATATTTACCATATTTTATACATACATACATACATTTTAATCATATATGAGCTGGAGCTCGAAGCCAAACACACTGGTACCTTCATGTTACGAATATACAGTAATAAAGTGGGCATATAAATATAAAAATATATCATTTTCCTATTAGATGCGAGTAAACATACCAACATACAATATATATGTATCTAAAGTAAGCCTTTTATACCGTGCTAATTACACATACATATGTACGCACTTGTAAAATATGTGAAAACTATACACACACATAGTCATAAGTACATTTTTCCAGCGATTTTAAAACAAAATAAGGAAAAACATTGACTTCAGCTGCACCGAAGCTATAATCTCCGTTACAGGTGCATTTTTATTAGAGCATAAAAATGTTTAAGAAGAGCTTTATTCTGATGTTGATTATTTAGTTTGTATGGCAGCTATAAGCTATAGTGGTCCGATCTGAATAAATTTTTCAGAGATTGTAGCCATACTTTTTATAATAACCTCTGCCAACTTTCGTTAAGATATCTTAACAAATAAAAGAGTTTTCCCTACAAAGACTTGAGTCTGAACGTTCAGTTTATATGGCAGCTATATGCTRTAGTATTCCAATAGCGGCGGTTCCGATAATTGAGCAGTTTCTTGAAGGGAAAAGGACGTGTGCAAAATTTCAAACCGATATCTCAAAAACTAATGTTAATACCTCAGACGCACACGCACACCAACAGATTGACGCAGCTAAATCAACGCAGCTTGTCACTCTGATCATCTCCAACTCCTTTTTGGTTGTTACAAGTAGTATCGTGGCTTTACGTTTATCCACTACGGGAACCTTAAAGTCTATCCTGCTAAATCCACAGCGGCAATATTGCCCAACTGGATGAAGCAATACAAACTGGATCGGTAACTTAAATATCGACAGTCAGCAAACCCAAAATTACGGGTGTTAAGTACTCCTTAATTCCGCTTACGACTGCGATTGTTAACACAAAACAGATCACTAACCGGTAGCCCCTTGAGTAAGGACAAAGAAACGTTGCTGGACACTCAGAAGGCAATTGCAGCTGAAGAAGATACAGAGCTTGGGCTGATCAGAAGGGGAGTCATGTTGCCTTTTTAAGCTCCTATGGACAGTGAAGGTTCTCTGTTGGCAAATGGGGTGGGGTTGCCTAGCCGTAGAGGCCAAGGTCGCAGTAGTGCGTTGGCAACATGAGGCCACGTAACTTGTGGTCCACTCCCTGTATGTATTAGGGGCAGAGCAGATCTTAATATCGCTCCTTCCATTGCGTGTGTTACATATGATCGAGGTGGAGTTTGGATGGAGCCTTTTGGCGCAAACGCAGCAGAAAAATTCATCCGATCCCGGGTTGGACTCAATGCCAGCGCAAGTCAGGAGGATACGGAATAACTACTACTATTGACAGGCGTTGACGACAAGCTTAAACTAAGACTTGCCGAATTTAAAGGGGTTAGWTCTCCGAAATAACAGCCCTTAGTCGGATAAAATGCGGGTCAATTCCCGTGCGTAGAACCCGCTGTTGTGGGAATTGTTTACCSTAATTACAGGAATTAGATACCCGTTACAACAACAACACTGCGAATGCCATTGTTGAGGTCGAAACACACCTATCGCAGATCGTGTGCTTGCTTTGSCGCGTGAAACCAAAGTGACTTTAGCGCAACTTTGTTCTGGTTTTGTAGCAGGTTAAACTCCCACCTATTCCGAATAGACCCCGACATATAAAATATATATTCTCCGAGCAGAGAGTCCTCTCATGACATTAATGACCTCTTTGCATGACCCATTAAGCCCACTCATTTAACCCTCTCCCTGGCTCAACTTGGTCGAAACAGGCCGTTTCCTAGACCTCCCGCTAAGTGATTTCAATGACAGTCGTTTCATATACTCGCTACAACAACAACATGTAATGGAGTCTTCCGACCCAACGGTCTTTCCAGAGAAAAAAGTATCGCAATATTCCTCACACTGATGTTTCTTTAACCCCATAGTGATCCAGGTCTCAAAAATTTAAAATCAGTTCAACCAGATTCTGGCTATCGCCGAACTAGGAATTTTGAAATATGTACATATATTAAACCGTTTTTTTTTTTCTTTTATAAAAAAAAGTAGTCGAAAAACATCATGAAATTTTTGTTTTTAATTTTTAAAAAAATCAAAAAAAAAGTGAATTTTCAGGATTTTTTAAAATCCTAGTTCCGGCGTTAGCCATCTGCCTACAGGGTTACATGATCATAATACCACAATAGTAACCGGAACGGACGGGAGTTTTAAGCGGGCAAGGACTCGTCTAATTTGTGCAACAACAAGAATACAGCAACATGATTTTTTTTTTTTTTTGATTTTGATTTTAGGTTAGCCAGTCTGCTGGAATCAAGGATGGTATTTGTCGGCCTTATTTCTTCTGGGTGCCATTGGAGCGTTAAACTCGCAATTTACAAAGTATTTTTACTTAAAAAAGTTCTCTGTGTTTTTTCATTTCACTAAAAAAATTCGAAAAAAAATCTTTTAAACACATTGCCGTTACACGGGATTCAATTCTGCTTGCTAGAAATATTAAATTTCACATCCACAAAAATTTATTTTTTTCGCTGGGAGAATAGTGACACATACACACTCATCATAACACACAAAATTCATGTGAACCTAGAAATCTGGAACGAAAAAAATGCTGGAAGCATTGTTACTTCATAACTGTAAGAAATATTTCAAGTATAGCAAAACCAAATAAAAATAGGCAACATTAAAGAAAAAAATAAATTAAATAGATAAATGCATGTGTAAAGTGTTTTAAGTGTAAACAAGGAATAATGTTGCAGTTACACATGGTTGTAATTTACCAATTGCTGAAGATCATTACTACCAAATTATTGAAAAAAAAAAAAATACAAATTAAAACTAGAAATATTGAAGAGAAGTTGAATTAGAATTAAGCTGATAGAAAAAGATGGTATTATAGTTACAAAAATATAGCTGAATTAATTGTAGTAGGAATATGTTGAAGATCTTTAAACTAAAAAAAAAAACAAATATAAAGTAATTATGTACAGATATGAAGTCTAACAAGCCGAAAATATGAGTATAAACCGTTAGGAGTTGAAGCAAATTGCAAAGCACAAGGAGGTAAAGTATTAATTAAAAAAATATGAAAACAATACGATTAGCTCATGGGTTAAGCTGTTACTAGATGAAGAAAAATATTTTGGCGATTAAATTGCGTTAATAAAACGAATGCATGCAATAAATAGAAAAATGGAAAACGTTAACATAAAAAACATTTTTTGCAAGAAAAAATAAATTTAGCATTGCAGTTAGTTAGATTCCTTTAAGTTCTTTTATTTTATAAAACAAAAATAGTATTTGCTTTCTATGTTTTATTTTTAAACTTCAATAATTTTTTTTTTTTTTTTTTTTTTTTTTTTTTTTTTTTTTTTTTTTTTTTTTTTATTTTNTTTTTTTTTTTTTTTTTTTTTTTTTTTTTTTTTTTTTTTTTTTTTTTTGGAAACGCTATTGCAACTGAAAGCTAAATATTTAAAATGCTAACTTGATTTTCTAACTTTTAAAGTTAAATAATTACTTAATTTTACGATAATAAATTATTATATTAACGAAAAAAAAAGAGAAAATTATAAGCATTGCATACAATACAATGAAACGTGAAATTAGTTTGTAAAACGAAATCCTATTGAAAACTAAAATTGTTATTAGCGAAAAAATGTTATGAATTTTAGTTAAATGTTATAAATAAAAGCAAACAAATGCAACGGTAAGATAAATAACAAAAAAGCTTGAAAAAGTGAGTTTATGTAAATGTTAGCGCTGTAAATTTAAGTAAAAAAGGGTAAAATTAATTAAAATGAAAAAAAGAAATGAATAAATAAAGTGATAGAATAATCTATTACATACATACATTGTAAAAATGTGTCTGATTCTTTTATTTATATTATACGCAGTTTAAATTTTTTTTATTTGAAATTCTACTTGAAAAGCGCTTAATAAAGTAAGCAGTTAAAAAAAAAATGACTAAGGCTCACAGTCATATCTTAACGTTTTTTGTTTGACTCAAATTTCGCACGAATTTGTACTAACTAATAAATTAATAAAATAACTTACCTTGGACAACTTCACAGAATTTCTCTCAGCAGGCACACATAACATAATTAATGAACGTAAACTTGCAAAAAAAAAAATCTGGTAATTCAAACATTTGTTACACACACGCACACACTTGTATAAAATTTTATCAAAACAAATTGTTTTTTTCCTTTTTGACATTTTTTTAATTAAATAGAACTAGTTAGTTGATAGATGAGATGAGTTGGATAAATGCGATGATGGGCGGCTTAATTATATTAATAAATTTAATATCTATATTTTGTAGAATAGTCTTTTGGCGATACGACTAGACCACGACCTTTGCGTGCACCACGATACACAGTCTCCACAATATCGATCATTTCCTGTTTATCTTCAAGCGGCCAATTGATTTTGTTGTTATTACCAGTGCCCAAATCAATCATGATATGTTTATTGCGGAAGAAAAACATAACGGTGCACGGGTCGTATAATTCATACATCTTATTAAAGTCAGGCACCTCAGTGATGTCGACCAAGTAAATTACAGCAAAATTTTTCACTTTCTCCGCTATGCTGTACATGACTTCGTCCATTTTCATGCAAGCGGGGTCCCAATCGTGGCCAAAACGAATAACCTGCATAAAAAGAGAAATTGATTACAATTTTTATTAGACAAAGAGTGCAACGAAATCTTTTAAAATATTCTGAGTGCACTCACTACTACGCGATCTTCCTCGGATAGAATGGCCTGATCTACTTGCCAGCCATTGTGTAAATGTGGTAGCATATACGACATTTTGGACGATTTTTATTTAAACACATAAATTAACAAAAACTTTGATTAATATTGTTTTGCACAAATTTTCACGCGCAAAATTTCACACTTTCTTAAACGTTTACAAACGCACTTTGCCAATCAGCTGTTGTTTGACAGCGTAGTTCGAAGTTCGAATTACACCTGGTACGAATATGTCAACAATTTAGAAAAAGCTAATTTTTCATTTACACAATTAAAATAATTGAATAATGTATACATTATATCTCAAACCTACTTAAAAAAAAAAATTAAAATAAGTATAAGAACACGCAGTTCAAAAATTCCACATTTACGCCAGCGTCAGCCCGCGTTGCCAACTATTTCCATGTACCGTTTGGCTGTCAAATATAATTTTTTTTGCACCAATTGCTGTCGGGAACACGTTGMAGTTTTGTTTAATCGCTCTGATATTGCTTCTTTATTGGGCATTTAAATATATTTATTGTATTTCAATAAACGAAATTGTGCGATAAAACCATGGTAAGTTGCATATATGCTATTAAATATGAGGTCAACGGCGTATAAGAACGTTGCCAGCGTGTGTTTACTTTGTTTTCACACTCGTGAAACAATCTGATGCAATATCCCTTGGCCAACCGAGTGATTCATGTTTTATTTAGTTGAAATTAAAATTCTGTATTAAATTATAGGCGAATATCGAAAGAAAGGGCACCTTCAAGGTGGAATATCTCCAGCAAATCGAGCGTGAGATGCAACAGCGTTGGGAAAATGAGCATGTGCATGAAACGGATGCGCCAATAGAGCCACGCAAAAGTCTGGATGAGAAATTTTTTGTAACATTTCCTTTTCCCTATATGAATGGACGCCTACATTTGGGTCATACATTCTCGCTCTCGAAGGCAGAATTTGCTGTACGGTATCATCGGCTGAAAGGAAGGCGTGTACTATGGCCATTCGGATTTCACTGTACTGGTATGCCCATCAAAGCATGTGCGGATAAGTTAAAACGTGAAATGGAGGATTTTGGCTACCCACCAAAGTTTCCAATTGATGATACACCTGCTGAAGTTGAGGAACCGACACAAGGCGATATACCCAAAGATAAAACGAAAGGTAAAAAGAGCAAGGCAGTCGCCAAAACAGCAGCAGCAAAATATCAATGGCAGATTATGCAGAGTCTAAGATTGACTGACGAAGAGATTAAGTGTTTTGCTGACACCGAGCATTGGTTAAACTATTTTCCGCCTTTGGCCATTAAGGATCTCAAAAGTTTGGGAATACACGTGAGTGAAAGTAGTATAACAGTTATATCATAAACAAAAATTTACGAATTATTTTTACATGTTTAGGTGGATTTTAGGCGCACGTTTATCACGACTGATGCAAATCCTTTCTTCGATTCTTTTGTACGCTGGCAGTTCTTGCATTTAAAAAATCGTGGAAAAATAATGTATGGCAAGCGTTACACTATTTATTCGCCAAAAGATGGTCAACCCTGCATGGATCATGATCGCTCAAGCGGCGAGGGTGTAGGACCGCAAGAATATACGTTAATTAAGATGAAAGTGCTTGAAAAGCCAGCCAAACTTAGGTAAGTTATTGAGTTAATTTTTAATATAAACAAAGAAAATAAAAAATTATATATAAAAAAAAAAACAATTTCAGTGCTGTGAATGTGCCTATCTATATGGTGGCTGCAACACTGCGTCCCGAAACTATGTATGGGCAAACCAACTGCTGGCTGCATCCCGACATCAAGTACATTGCTTGGCAAGTTTCACGCACAAATGAAGTGTGGATTAGCACACGTCGTGCCGCGCGTAATATGTCCTACCAAGGTTTCACCGCCGAAGAAGGTAAGGTTGTAGAGATTGTTGAGCTGACTGGTCAGGAACTACTAGGCACACCACTATCTGCACCAATGACATCACATAAAGTCATCTATACACTGCCAATGTTATCGATTAAAGAAGACAAAGGAACAGGCGTGGTAACATCCGTGCCATCTGATTCACCTGACGATTATGCTGCTCTGGTGGATTTACAGAAGAAGGAAGCATTCCGCCAAAAATACGGTATTACCGATAAAATGGTGCTGCCTTATGAGCCAGTGCCGATCATAGAGGTGCCCAGTTTAGGTAAAACATGCGCCGTCTATGCATATGATAAACTGAAGATACAATCGCAAAATGACAAAGACAAGTTGGCTGAGGCGAAGGAGCTTTGTTATTTGAAAGGTTTATGTTATATTACCGTTTTTAGTAAGAAAATATATTAATTTATTATAATTGCAGGTTTCTATGATGGCGTACTTTTGGTGGGCGAGTTTGCCGGACGCAAAGTCCAAGATATTAAAAAAGATTTGCAAAAGAAGCTTGTGGCCGCAAATGAAGCTGAAATCTATTACGAACCTGAGAAAACCATTATTTCGCGTTCTGGCGATCAATGCGTCGTTGCGCTTTGCAATCAATGGTACCTCAATTACGGTGAACCCGAATGGCAGGCGCAAGCCAAGAAAAATCTCAGCAAAATGGAAGTTTATCACGAAGAGGCACGCAATAATTTCGAAGCTTGCTTGAATTGGTTGCACGAGTACGCCTGCTCTCGCACATATGGCTTGGGCACCAAGCTGCCCTGGGATCAGCAGTGGCTTATTGAATCGCTTTCGGACTCCACCATTTATATGGCATTCTACACGGTTGTGCATCTGCTGCAAGGCGGTTCGTTTAGAGGCGAGAAGCCGAGTCCCTTAGGTAGGCAAATTATGGCAGCTTTATTATTTAGAGGTTYGATTTGAACAATATCTTCCCTTATGACCGCAATAACTGCAAAAGTACAGAGCCGMAATAAAATTTTCAAGTCACCAGCCGGCAACTCATGGGAGGGAAAAGACAAAGGCACGTTGTTAGCAACATATAAAGCAAACGGCCGGCCGGTCCTCAACTACGCCGCACCAATTGGTCGCCTTCTATGTAGTGGAACGCAGATGAAGAAGCTTTAGACTTGTCAGAACACTACACTTCGGACATGCCTCCTATGTCTCCCATTTAACACCTAGATAGTGAGACTATTATGCTCCTAGGTAAAGAGCATAATGAACTCCTCTCCATGCAGTTCCAGCTGRGTTGTTTTCGCAGAAATCACCCCGTGCAGGCACTTGCTTGCAGTGAAACCGTCTGCTAGGAACTTCAAGAGGTCATTTTTCATTTACGTCGACGACATTGAACAATACACCGACCGGACTTCGGACGCAACTAACTTCCGACAAGTACTGACCGCCATTCACAGTGGAGCCATCAACACTTTCATTGACTTCCTTCCAGTGAATGGCGTTTTTGGGGTCAAAACCCCACCCATTGCAGGCGAAGAGCTCGAGTTGCCGCGAGAAACGGGAGTGACCCTTGCACAGCTTCGTTCTTGATATTGTAGCTGGTTAAACTCCTACTTATCCAGAATATACCCCGACATATCCAATATACATATGTCATGCGTACAATGAGTATCCGCATGACACTGGTCACCTCTTTACATGCCCCTCCAACCGCACTCAGCTGGTACCATTTGGTCTGGCCCTATCGAAACGACACGATTCGGGTGCCTCCCGTTAGATGATGTCGACAACAACTTAGATAATCCTTACAATCCTAACGRGGATTAGAAAACCGTTATAACTACAACTAGATAACTGATTTCGCCACCCTGATCATATACATATATCAACTATATATACATCAGAAATTTCTCTCTGGGTGTTACAATCTTGCCACGAAAGGGATATTTAAATAGGATAAAATTTAAAGTTTTGGTACACTTTCGAAAAAACATACTGATAAAATTTCCGTCCYTTAGGCATCACCGCAAAGGATATGACACCCGAAGTGTGGGACTACATATTCTTCAACGAAACGCCATACACCGATAAGCTCCCAATAAAGAAGGACTCACTCGACATATTGCGTCGTGAATTCGAGTACTGGTACCCGATGGATTTGCGTGTAAGTGGCAAGGATTTGATAAACAACCATCTAACATTCATGCTGTACAACCATACCGCCATTTGGCCCAATGACGAAGGCAAATGGCCACTGGGCACACGCGTCAACGGACATCTGTTGCTCAATTCTGCGAAAATGTCAAAATCCGACGGCAATTTCCTTACACTCTACGAAGCTGTTCAGAAATTCTCAGCCGATGGCACGCGTCTGTGTCTGGCCGACTCTGGCGATAGCGTGGAGGATGCCAACTTCGTCGTGAGCACCGCAGATGCTGGCATACTACGTCTGTATACATTTATCGAGTGGGTGAAAGAGATGTCCGACTCGCGTACTGCGCTGCGCAAGGGCGTCGCTGACACCTTCAATGACAAAGTGTTCATCAGCGAAATGAATTTGAAAACGCGCGAAACCGATGAGAATTATCGCAAAATGTTGTTCAAGGAAGCCTTGCGTACCGGCTTCTATGAACTGCAGCTGGCGCGTGACAAATATCGTGAGCTGTGCGGTGCACAGGGCATGCACGAAGACTTGGTGTTCGAGTTCATACGTCGCCAAGCGCTGCTGGTGGCGCCGATTTGTCCGCACGTCGCCGATTATGTATGGGGTTTGCTGGGCAATAAGGAGTCCATAGTGCATGCGCGTTGGCCGGAAATGGGCGCCTGTAATGAGGTGGAAATCAAATGCTCTGAATATCTCATGGAGGCGGCGCACACGTTCCGTCTAAGTTTGAAGAACTTTCTGCAAGTCAAGGGCAAGGGTGGCAAAGGGAAGGCGGTGGATYCCACAAGCGCGAAACCGAATGCTGCTTTGATCTGGGTAGCCAAAACATATCCGCCATGGCAATGCTGTGTGCTCGACACACTGCGCGAAATGTATATTAAAGACGGCAAGTTCCCGGAAAATAAAGTCATCGCGTCGACGCTGCAACAGAAGGAGCAGCTGAAGAAATTCATGAAGCGCGTCATGCCCTTCGTGCAAATGATACGCGATAACGTTGAGAGTAGCAAGTTTGTTGAGGCGTTGGCCATCAAGTTGGAGTTCGACGAGCGCCAGGTGCTGCTCAACAATCTCGACTACCTGAGAAATACATTGGATGTAAGTTCATGCGTGGAAAAATCGGCTTGTATATTTTCTCCTCTCATTTCCTATTTATGCCCGCTTTAGGTTGTTGACATTGAGGTGAAATACACAGACGATCCAGCAGCGCCAGAAAAAACACGTGAGGAGGTGCGTCCCGGCTCGCCTTTCATAGCTTTCATCATTGCGCCGAATGTGGAGGTGGAACTGGTTAATCCAATCGAGCGTTCCGGTTTGTTTCAAGTGAATACCGTTATATGTGAAGGCGAGACAGTGAAGCAGTTGACCGAAAAATTGGCGAGGAAAATAAACTTCAAAGGTGTGTATAAGCGTTATGTAACCGTTATTTACAAAGCAAAAAAAAAAA